GCAGCGGCAAGTGGCTTGAGCCTGCCGGAGCTGCAAGCTCGAGCACGTGCTCGAGTGGGGGAGCATCGCACTGGTGGGGATGCAGCGGGGCGGGCCAGGCCCGCCCAAACGCCGTACTCGCAACCGCCTGCTGCACGGCCACGCTCAGCATGCCCCACCAGCGACGAGACCAGCCCGCTCGAGCTGCAGCGCGCAGGGCCGGCGGGGCTCGTTGCGACCGAACCCGGAGCAGGTTTCCGAAATTTGCATGCTCCCCTACACCCAATGAACGCAGAGACCAAATGTGACCGGTTTTGAGCTCGCCGGGAATCCGCAGGCCCACATTTGCTCCTTCCCTCCCTGCACCCGCAAGGGAATGGGGAACTCCCTCTAACAGGAAATCCTGCACCCTAAGCCCTAAACCTGACAAAAGGACGGAATGCCACAAACGGCTTGTTGAATGTACTCAACTCAGAAGAGGCTCGCCATGCCCGAAAAAATGGGCCGCCGCCGGAAATACTAGTTTTATTATTACAACCCCATTTAAAGATTTGGGCGTCCGGGGACCGGTTGCAGGCTTGTAGTCTGCCTAGAAGGCGATCGGCAGAAACGGCCCGAATAATCATTTTATTAATCCCACCCCATTTATTAATCACAGGCGAACATTAATTTAAAGGAGCTTCCTTGAGTGGCCGCGCAGGTGTGGTGAATCCCTCCAAGGTGCGATGACCATCCGCCACTTGTGCTTTGTTTTCGAGTTTCCTGGGGGTTTGAGTCGAAGATGCGGAGCGCACAAGTGTGGCTCCTGTCCATCAGCCATGGGCGAACTAAGTTGTCCTGTCCCCCATTGAAGCCATGCGGGTCCTGTAGACACTGGGTCCGCTCGAATCTGGTATCCTCCACAACCAGATCCCATCTACCCACGGAATTCTTGAACTCAAACCAGGACCTCGTGAATCCCTCAGCTGATTGTTGCAAGCAGGGTCCTATTACTTACTTTCCCGCCACTGATGACCTGACTGCACACTGCGCAGGCTCCCAGCGAGCGCAGGGTAAGTACCCGCTTGAGCTTCCGACGGCCCCATACAAAGAAGGTAGGTCGGTGGACGAACCGGTAAGCATTCACTGAAGGACGTGGCTTGCAGTTTTACTAGGGCAGTCACTTTGATTTTCTGTTCCTATCGCACCGTCTACTCGCTACATACCTCCTTGAGAGGCGGCCCAAACGGGCCTATAGATTCGTGCTATAGTTGCTATAGTTGCTGTTATTCCTTTCCTGCACCTGGTAGCTTGCATGCGGGAAGAAAAAAATGCTCAACCCTTTGCGCGTCTTTACAGCTAGGCTGAAGCCTGCCCCTGCAGATTATAAGAATGGACCTTTGAGCGATTCAGTTCTCGCTGCTCATCGGTGGCTCGAAATCAGGATGTGGGGGTAGGGGCTAAGGGCCCCCCTACAAGCCCACAGGTTCATGGACAACCCAAGAGCAGACTCAATTTTCAGATGCAAGACCACATTTGCTTACTTCCAGCACCCTTCGCCCTTGACTCAGCCAGGCGGTGGTCGCTCCTCCGCATCACTGTAGTCGAAGTTTTTCCAGACTCGCAGCAGTGAAAAGGTCGTTTGAAGGCCGGCTCGTTTCGCCTTCAACCCTTTGCTGAACAATTTCCATTCTACAGTGCACAGCTGACGCCCGAAAGCTTTCAAGCAGGCCGACACTTTTGACTTGACATGCCCTTGTCCCATGTCGGTCCTGGCCCCATCGGGTTCCGAGGAGCCATGACCCCAGCTTCGGTTTCAGCTTGGGCGCGCGAGTGTTTGTGTGGTTGGGGGCTTTGTGCGCATTTTTGCAACGGAGACGTAGGCAGGCAGGTCTCTCGCTCAACCTTCAAACGGTCCTAGGTCCGGTTCTAGGTATTGGAAGGGACTGAGTCCAAGTTGTCTCTGAGCAGCACTTCCTAGCAGTAGCCAAGAGCCTGCAAGTTCCAGAATCAAAGACTTGTGGTGCTCAGGGCCGAGAAGAAGGTGCTGGGCCTATGCGGCTCGGCAAAGAATTGGGAGGTTCTGCATTGAAAACGTTCGACACGCTCAGAGTCATGCCACAAGCGTTCCGAGACATCCGCCGTGAGCACAGCAAGTTAACGTCGTTTAGTCATCGAGCTAGAAGTGGTTTCTCAGGCAAGCTCTATGTGCTCCGCACGGTCCTCGGTTCTCCAATTTCGAACCTTCTGCGCTAGGCGTTCTGAAGAGAACCTTCCTCCTACCTACATTGACCTACATGTACAGGCATGGACACGGCGATTGGGGATGTGACTGTTTTGATTCCGGGACGCAGACATGTGTCGCAACTATATCAAATTATTCGTCACAGGGGTGTAGCCACGAGGGGTCTGAACTGCTGCTACATGTTCCCACGAGGAACTCATCCCTCGTGAGACACAGCTCTCGAACTTGGGCTTCAAAGCAGAACCTATTTTACAGATCTTGCACACAGCTCCCAACACGAGGTGAGGACGCCTGGGAGGCAAGCGTGGGCAAAACTTGGATTAGTGTCAGGGAAGAAGGGAGCACGGGACAGTACTGCACTAGGCCTGCTCATTTTGCTGTCGAGAATGACCAGGTCAAAGATCATGCTTTTACAGGACAGTCGAACTGAAGGATCAAGTGCCGACTGCCCTGCCATCTCGATGCCAGGACAGAGGAACTGGGCGGGCCTCGGTTAATTCCGCCCATGGCTCGGAGCGCAGTCCTATTGCAGAGTTGGAGAGCACTTTGCAAGCAAAGAGATAGATGCAGCTGCTTTTGCGAGGCTGCACGAGACAAGAGGCTGCAAGTGCACGACGAAGCCGGCGAGGTGATTCTCTACGTGCGGATCTCGGGCTTGGTAGGCAACTACCTACCCTATTGCGTATGTGCGAAGGATTTATAGGCTGGGAAGTTTTCTTGGTCAGTTTAGATTGGGTTGATCAACATGAACGGCAACGCGTGTCCCGATCCAGTGATCATATGATGTGCTTGCTGTACTTGTTGCACATTGTTGCGTAAATGAGCTGTTGTACAGTTTGTTATGTAGGAGGACAATCCTCACGAACGACGCGCTTGGAAAATTAACAGGCTAGAGTGCCATGCACCTTGAACTTGCACGAGAAGTGGCGTTCCTTCGAAGGCTGAGAAGATAATCGCGGATTAGCCTTTTTTGACACCCTGTGCTTGGGTTTCTTCTGCATGGGCTCTCGCTTCTTCACAGGAATTTCAAGTCCTTCGATTTCATCGCAAGTCTGTCGCCGGTTCTCGCTTGGCATGAAGATATGGGACCTTGTAATTTGGCAACTAGGGGCGATGTCGCCGAGGACCGGCCTGCCCTGCCACCAGAGAGCTATCGACTGCAGGCCCTGCCTTAGCTATGGGCTGGGCTTTGAGTCGTTGTCGTCGTTGTTGTGGTTGTGGGTTGTGGTTTTGGTTTGTAGATTGTGGCTGTGGGTTGTGGGTCGTGGTTGTGGGTTGTGGTTATGGCTTGTGGTTGTGGGTTGCGGTTTTGGTTTGTAGATTGTGGCTGCGGGTTGTGATTTTGGTTTGTATGGGTCGTGATTGTGGGTTGTGGGTTGTGGTTTGTAGATCGTGGCTGTGGATTGTGGGTCGTGGGTTGTTGTTGTTGTTGTCGTTGTGGGTGGGTTGTGGTTGTGGTTGTGGGTTGTTGTGGGTTGTGGTTGTGGTCGTGGGTTGTGGTTGTAGGTTGTGGGTTGCGGGTTGTTGTTGTGGTTGTGAGTTGTGGGTTGTGGGTGCGGGTGTGGGTTGTAGTTGTGGTCTTGGTTTGTAGATCGTGGCTGTGGGTTGTGGGTCGTGGGTTTTTGTTGTCGGTTGTCGTTGTGCGTTGTGGTTGTGGTCGTGGGTTGTGGGTTGTGGTTTTGACGTGTCAGATGGGTGTGTAGTTGCAGACGAGAAGCTATGCCCAAAGAGCTCTACTGAGTCTACTGGCTCAGCAGGGCTTTGCTGGGCACGCATCTCCTAGAACACAGATGGCTCCACGCACTGGAAGGCCACGTGCCGGACATCATCCCCCCAGACGTCTGATGGGTGCTTAGTCGCAGCTCTAAACTTCGTCCACCGGCGCTATCTCCATGCACAGGCGGTTGTGAGGACTGCAGCTCATGAGCGCAGCTGGCAAGGTGTCCAACAAGGACTTGAGCACGACGCAGTGGACATGCTGCCGCTGCTGTTGCGCATTGTTCGAGCATAACTCTCCAAGACTTGCTCTGTTCCGACTTCGCACTCAAGCGAGCCATTCAGAAAGGCACCCCGAACGCGCAAGTGCTGCCCTGGCTGCGGATGCACAGCATCTGGCGACGGCTGGGAGATCTGTGCATTGGCGACCTGCAGGGAGAGGGAGAAGAGATGCACTTGCGGAAGTACCGCATCCAGCACTTGAGCCAAGATTCCCGGAATTGGTTGCGAACTCATCGAGTGCTGTGTGTGCCGTGTATGCGCTTGGTCAAGTCTATCTGGACTGTGTGTTTGCGCTGTCAGAAGGCTGCGCCCCTGGTCGATCGCGACGCCACTTGCGGCCCCAGTTTCGAACCAGGTGGCAGAACTACAGTCACACAGTCAAGAAAGCAAATGAGAACCGGCAGCAAGTCGTCTACGAGACTGGCCGCACACTCACTCAGCCGCGGGTGTCCACCACTGGCACGCCACTTATCACAAGCAGCAGCTTGGCGGCCATGCCTGCTTATCACAACCACCGGTGAGCACGTGCACCCGCCCGGTGCCGAGCAGGAGCGGAAAACACGGTCTCTGTTCACCAAGGCCGCCAAGGCCCAACTCACCCAGGCTCGCATCTACATGCACGAGACTCCAAGCGGAGAGCGCGCTTCTCCAACATCTCGTGGGCCAACGCTTCGAACAACGAACGTAAACGTGGCAAAGCCCGCGCTGACCCGAATTCGCAACCCTAACTGACGCACGTGGCAGGGTGCAACCCACCCGTGCGGTACGGGATCGGCCCGAGGAGCTTCAGCCTTCCTGATCTTGAGACCGCTCTTCACATTCTCCAGCCCCAAGTTGTGACGAACACTGACGTTTTCGTGCCCTTCCGCTCCCAGGGCATGCATTGCTCTCGCGCACAAAGCCAACCAAGCCCTCGTGTTGCACACCCCATGCGAGCTCAAAGGGACCGGCCACATCCTGGCTATGCCCCGGAGTGTTGAAGGCGCAAAGTCGCCAATGCTGGACCCCGTGGCGTCAAGGCCGATCCTTCGGAGATCGAAGAACTGCTGCTAGAGGCCGGCATTCTAGTGGCGGGAGCAAACGGTCCATCTCTGAGCCTCGCTGTTGCAACCGCATCGTCTATGTCAGTCTATTTGTGGAGCAAAAGATGGCCAAGCGTCCCTGATTTTTGTTCGTGTCGCTCCCCTTGCTGGCTGTGAGCACGCCGCCTTCGGAGCAAGCTTTGATCAGGGACCTAAGACGTGTGGTTGTGGGTGTGGTTGTGGTTGTTGTTTTTGTTGTTGTTGCTGCTGCTGCTGCTGCTGCTGTTGTTTTCTTCTTATCCTTTTGCATGCCGGCTGCCGCCACCCCCCACAGCACACGAACCATCGAGGTGGCGTCGCCATACCACAAGACTGATGCAGTTTCGTCCGGTATGGAGTGTGAGTATGAAGCCTGCAGGATCTCTCCATGACTAATGCGCCCGAAAGTTTGTGATGGCAGGGGGACGATGCTGTAAAATCCATCGTCGCCGGGTCCTGACAGCTGGATCCCACTGATCGGTTTCGTTTCGAGCTATATGATAACTTTTGTCTGATGTTTGGGATAGTTTGTCACTTCCAAGGGTTGCAGCTTGGTTTGCAGAAGTGTTGGCAGCGGCTAGGCACGCTGAGCTGAATAGCAGCCATGAGCGATCCTTGCTGCTCTAAAAGATTGCGGGGCTTGAACCAGTAATCACTCATGAGATGAAGGACAGGGGGCTTTCGTAGACATGCCGCATGAATCTTTGTAGCTTGTCTTAGGTGTGGGAAGACGTGGAGATGGGCGCTCAGATCACTGGGTCCACTGGAGTAGCAGGAGATTGCCGGAACTCTGCAGCAGCCTTCTGAATTGCTTAGAAGCCTACCTTCCAGACATCTGCTGATCCCGGCAACAGAAATGCAGCGTTTGCATCGTTGGCGGTCAGCCGGCTTCACTTCCCAACTCATGCCAGCCAACACCCACCTGAACTGACGCACACATGGGAACATTCATGACTGCTACGCAGAAAGACGGATCCTGATTTGAATAGTCCGTGTGCGAGCGCTCAAAGCTGAAATTCGCCATTGAGGCAGCAAACAGACTATGCACTGAGCTTCCGAGATGCTGCCGCTGGGCTTTAGGGGGAAAGGGCCAATGCAGCCATCCAGCATGCAGGGAATACATAATGTGCTGTTCTTTGTTGGGATACCCAGATCTAAGCACAGCGGGTGTACGCATACATCAGACTTCGCACCCAAATCGATCAGTGTAGATGAGCACGCTTGCACACATGTTCAGATGCGTGTAGTTTATAGTAGAAGCCAGAAAGTCGGAACATTAATCTCCTCATGGCCTTAAGGCTTAAGGTAAAGTATAAGGGATCCTAGCACCAATCCTCTTCAAAACCCATGTTCCAACTTTCTGGGGTTCGCCGTACAGACCTCTCCATCTGCCTTTCTGCTGCCACACTTCGGCTTCGGGCATCTCTCTCTCTCTCTCCCTCCCGCCCTTCCCCTCCTGTCAACCCACTCCTCCCCTCTCACAGGCAAGCCCGTCCAAGCACACCATGCCGAGACCATGCCTGTATTCACGAAGCGCTCAGGAGAGCGCCGCCCAGCTTTTTGCCGAGCTGCGCAAGGGACCTAGTCCGGAGAGCCAGGGACCACGTTGCTGAGCACGACCCAAACACTGGCATAGCCCAGTGTTCGCGCCTTCTGCAACCTTAACCCTAAGACTTGCGCGATCCTTGCCTGTGATGTGAATCGCTTGTGTAGACACGAAGCACCTGAGGCCTTGAGACGGTGTGGCCCTTGGAGATTGCTGCAGACAGTTATAGTCATAAGATAATGTACTCCATACTTTGCATATGTATATATATATATATAGAATATGAGGATACAAGATGATACAAGCATATTTTCTACTAGTTCCTAGCAATATGTATTAGTATATACCAGTAAACGGCCGTATGTTATAGTATACTATTGTATACCATAGTATACTACAGTAAACTCTAAAGTGCATTACTGCATGGATGAGGCTCTGAGTTTGGGTTGGCATCAGGCCATGTGCTTCGCTGGAGTCTGGTTGGGCTCTCGCACATGTCCTGTAGAAGACGAGTCACTTTTGCAAGGTAAGGCTGTGATGTCCTGCATCGAGGTCTGAGACTTCAGGTGTTGTGAGGTGCTTGGAACATCTTGGAGCCTTGCTAGCACAAACGCATCAGAACTCAGAATGACGAGACCATGGATGGACTTTGTGGCGGCATACGATGCTGAAGTAATACTGCCAAAGGCAATCGAACGCAATAAATCAGGTCTAAGGCCAGTGCACAATATCCCGTGATCTGTCATGATCGAGGCCTGTGGCCACCAACATACCTGCTCTCTCTTGCGCATAATGGGCCTGCAGGACCATCCATTCATGCAGGATCTTGGCTTTGCAAGATTCCGACACCTTACATGTGGATCTGTAGACGTTATGCACGCGCGGAGTACGTTATCTCTATATATGGATATGTATTTGTATGTCTGTGTGTGTGTGCGCATGTGCAACAGATAAACGATGCTTTCATACTATATTACTAGGTACGCATCACAGCATAGTACATTATATGCTACATTGTGTACTATATTATATTGCACGAACCTGTATGAGACTACATTATGTGGCATAAGGTATATGAAGGTTTACTTGTTATCTATTGTCTACTACGCATTTCTTCTCTAATGTTATACGTTATACGTTGTATACTATACTATACGTACACTATTTACAGTACATCATATTATAGACTAACTGCTGTGCAAGTAAATGCCTGCTACGTATACTACATACATGTTAACTTACTTACTTAGAGTTATTTACTTACTTACTTACTTACTTACTTACTTACTTACATACTTACTTACATACTTACTTACATACATACATACTTACTTACTTTCTTGCTTACTTACGTACTTACGTACTTACTTACTTACGTACTTACTTACGTACTTACTTACGTACTTACTTACTTGCTTTACATGCCTTATAACATATATTTACAGCTACATCTACATCTACACATGCACATACATATACATATATACATATACATATACATGTACATACATTTGCTGAACAACACCTGCTGCAAGTTGAGGCTGAGCATGTGCTGCCTTCGCCAAAGACGGAGAGTTGGCGACACAGCTGCTGTGCCTGCGTGTTTTCCCGGATTCTACCCTGAAGTTGCCCGCCAGTGACATGGCATGAGCACGTGGTATCATTGGCTTTGTTCACCACCAGAAACCGCCAGCAATTAGAGGTACCAACCGGCCAGTAAGTCCTGGGAGCCAGGGCATGCATCCTGTTGTCAGCTTGGTTCGTTCAGTGCCGAAGCAGGCATGCTTTGTGTTGGCATGCTTGGCACCCAGTGATATCGGCATGCGTACGTGCTACGATCAGGAGGTAAATCTACGCGAACAGGGAATTTATTCGTTTCTGCGCAAGTAATTTGCAGACAGAAACATGCGCGTGTTCGCAACAGTAAGACGTCCGGCAAGTCAATGCATAGAGTGGAGCTCCCGTTTTTGTCGCCATGTCTGGCCGTGCGTTGGTGGTGGAGGCACACAGCCAGCGCCGACATGGTATGCAGCGCGCTCGCCCCAAGTCTGCAAAGCCCAGCGAGGGCGTCATGGATGACTGGACGACAGAGGCAGTGAGAGACTGGCTGACGGAGGTGGTCGATGCGCGCGTCGGCGAAGCCGCACTGCGCGCGGGCGTCTCGGGCTGTGCATTGCCTTTTCTGGGCCACGAGGGTCTTCGAGAGCTTGGTCTTGAGAGCACTGTGGAGCGTGCAAAGGTTCTTGGCCTGTTGTCGAAGCTGACTTCACAGTCGGGAACGACGGAGATGAAAAAGGAGTCGTGCTGGCAGGAGCTTCGAAGACCATTGCCGGAGATATCCCCCGACTGCTGCCGAAGCAAGCCCCGTTCGGCGTGGGGCCGGGTGAAGCAAGTCGCGGCCAGGATAGATAGTGTGGCGTGGGCAGATCACAAGAAACCTTGGTTCGAGCACCTGGCAATGTCAGGAAGGTCCCCTGATGCAGTGCGCGAAGCTATAATGGCACAGCTGGACAGCTACAACTTGCTGACCCTCCTCCTGCTTGCCACGGTCCTGCCCACTTCGGTATCCATCGGGGTGGAGTTAAAATGGGATGCAGACGGGATGCCGACATCACGGTTCAAGCTGGCTTGTTTGGTCTACAGCGTGATGTACAGCATCGTCATCTTCTTTCACTTTTCCCTAAACCACATCACTTCCGTGCTGGTCACTGACGTAAGCACAGCGAACTTTCAACTGTTCTTGGATGCGTTTGGCAAGGACCTGATGGCGGATGTGGGCTTGTTCTTCCTGGTTGTTGTATTTAACTTTGTACCTTGGGTTCTTCTCTCGCTTGCGGCTGTGCTCGGGGCCTCTGCTCATTGGCAGGTGTGGGCTGTTGTTTATCCGTGCGTGCTTGTCCCGGTCGTTTTTATTACAACTTGTTTTGGAAAGCTGCTGGGCAAAGACGACTTGGGCCACAGGCCTCATCTCAAGGACGGGGCCCTGTTGTGTTTGCGACCGCTTCTTCGGCTGACTATGCATTCTGGACTCATGGCTGTGGCTCCAGTTTGTGTGGACGGAGTCCCTCGCGACCGAGTTTCCCTGCTCGAAGCTCTTTCGCAGAGGGCCATGGAGCAAGTTCCCGTTACCGAGGAAGCCGAATCTTGCGATGAGGTGGAGGCAGAGGTGGAAAAGCCCATTCAGATTGTTCACGAAGCCTTGTAAAGATTGTAAAAGTTGGCCTGGGTGCTGTATGCGTTGCCGAGATGTGTCGTAAACGTTACGACCTGGTATGCGTACTGAAGTCATTGAGCACCAAATGCGGCGGCAAAAGAAGCCGCTGCTCGACATGCTGTGAAGTCTGCCTGGACAACAAGATGTGGCATAGTGCTAGAGATCCTTAATCCCTGGATAGAGAAGAAGAGGGAGCTTCATAGTTGCAGTCCAGACCGAACGAAGCCCCCTCACGCCGAGATCTTCCATTTCTTGCCCAGCGCCTGTCCTTCGCCTGGCTCCCGGCACAGTGCAAAGACAGTTATAGCCGAATTTCAGATTGGGGCTGTCCCGATTCGCCGAGGGATTTCAGGGCGACCATGCGGGCTTTCACCTGCATATTGGACGGATTTGGACGGGCTCAAGAGGGCCGCAAGCCGCTGTGCTCAGTGTTCAGCGGCCGTTTGAGGACGGTAGTTCCGGTCGCCATGAAAGAAGGTTCCGCACCTTGATCCTGCTCTGCGATACAGACTGATACGCAGTAGGAGCTGCACATAAAAAGGAGGTTTGATCTCAAAGCATACACACTGTATCCATACTACTAATTTGCGTAGCTACCGTTGCCCGTAGACCCTAAATCTATCAAGTTAGCTGTATGGTACCCGAACCGAGCAGCCTTGGTGCCCGAACTGAACAGCCTCGCCTGGAGTGTCCGAGTTGCAAAAGTCTACATCTGACAGGCTACCTGATTGAATACCCTCCCAGGTGCCGCCGCCCATGCGTGCTTTGGTGGCCAAGGAGTGCATGGACCCCCAATTCATCGCTGCACTTCGCCAGGCCCGCTTTATTTTGCTTTGGGCCGGTAAAGCAAAGCAAAGTAAGCACGCGAAGAAGACCAGGGCCTACTGTAACTTAACATTCGTCGCTTCCCAAACAGTTGAAGCTTGTCCCGAAGCCTGAAACCCGTCAGTTCCTCCTCAAACCGCGAATCCTGATCTGTTTGTGCCACAAATCCTCCAGAGAAGTCGTTGAATCCGTCAGGCCTTCCACATAGCGGAAGATGCTGGTGCTGAGCAGGAGCCGTTAGCCAGCGGGACGTTCTACCGGGATGTTACACTGATTTTGCTTCGGCGCCTTACATAATGTGACACTGCTCGAGCGGAAGTTGTAAAGCAGAGAGTCGGAAGCCAATACCTGCTAAGCCTGTGCGTGACCAGACGAGATGGTCAAGCCTGGACGACTGCTGTCACGACGTGAAGAAACGGTGCTGTCACCTTCAGTGGCGTTCAGCATTCCGCATTTCGTTGCTCAAGATTGTTTAGCCTGCCCTGAAACAGCATCAGAAGAGGGAGGACAAGACTCGCTTGCAGGAATTAGTTGTGCTCTGGCGCATCGTCAAAGGCGTGCTGGCCTCAGCCTGCAGAGATGCCCAAATGTCCAGAGTCCCCAAGGGTTTTTCCAAACTGTTGTCATGTCAGCTGGCCGTTCGCCTAATCGCGGCCTTGAAGGCTGGAAGACTGCACATGCAAACCTGAGACTCTGGTGTGTAGTGCTTTCCCTGCCAAATTCTCCCTAAGGTCTTTCTGCTGGCGGATGCAAAAGCGACCCAGCGTTACCTGAGGTGCCAACTGTCAAAGCTTCACGAGTGGGTACGGTTTGGCTGATACGATGCAGAGATTGTGACCCAGCTACTCAGCACTTACAAGCGTATCGAATCGAAAAGTTTTCTTGCTTCACTAGAATCACTAGAACTTGAATAGGGTACCGTGGGATAATGTTGAATAGACATCAAGTATCTTGGCTTGAGAACGGCCGGTATGGCAAGGAAGGGGCTGGCAAAAATGAGTCTCATTTTGCCGAATGGTTGTTCTTTGTGATATCCGCTTTACATTCCTCACTGACGAGCATGAATGATCGCTGACCTGCCGGCCATACATGCGTGAAGGCAAGACCTGTACGAGGACGTGATGGGCATGCTCGAGTATGATGAGGGCACGCCCGTGAGATATCGTTTGGCGTACATGTAGACTTTCAAGCACTCCCTCTATTCTACAGGAAGCCAGTCTCAGTCCAGGCCGCTGGAGCTATTGCAGGGAACTGTTATCATGGTTTGTTGTCGTCAGAGCTGGAAGTGTCTGCTGAGTTCAGAGCTCCGGGCTTCGCTTTTTCGACCTCACCAGAATCTGCCAAAAACGCCGAGGCATACCGAAAGAAAGGCGCATCTGTCACAGGCAAATGCTGAAGGCGGAGACTGGGCACGGTGGATTAATTGGGAGTTTCAGAAAATAAGGGACACGCCCCAAAATTGCAGGATGCTCGTTGCAGGGACCCCGGAAGAAGTCCCCCAATCCTAAGACACCGCGAATGGCCAGCGCACCTGCCCGAAAGAAGCAGACCGAGAGAGTGTGTGACAGAGAGAGGGAGAGGAAGAGCTCAAACCCCAAGCAAGGCAAAGGGAGAGAGGAAGAAGAGAGAGAGAGAGAGAGAGAGAGAGAGAGCAGTCGTGGGGAGCTTCTCCCCTTTCCCTCAACCCTTGGGAAAGAAAGAGAGCGACTGCCTTAGGGCCCGCCATCCGGCGCGGGGAGCCTGATCTGCTCCCTGAACCCCGGAGCAGAAGAAGAAGAGTGAGACAGAGGCTACAGCAACTTCTGTGAGATGCAGTGCACAGGCCGGTTGTTTCAAAGACATCATGTTTTCCTGTAGCGCAGCTGTGGAAAGAATCAGGCCACACACTTGTAGTTGTTATGATCTGTTTTTTATGCGAGTGCTGGAAGCCCGACACACAATGCATTCATGCATGTGTCCTGCAAGTTGGTGAACGGAAGGTAAAGTCAGTGTGATTTTGAGGTTTGAGCTCTTTCCCACTCGTTTGTAAACGTTTGCACATCCCCCAAAGCCCCAAAACATTGGGGACCTGGTGGCTGGGGGGCTTACCTCACTCCCCATGCCCTGGAGAAGATGATGATGAGATTAGCCAATGGCTTACTGAACATGATGCTCACCGTGATGAGTTGTCGAATTGGCTAAGCGACGGGGGTGCCCTGCCCCTCCTTCATACCATGTAGAGGAAGAAGAAGAAGCGAGACAAAGATAGACAGACTGCCCACTCGGCCAGGTGGCCGTTCGCTTCAAAGAGGTTCGGAGCTTGGGATGGTGGGGTAAGAAGGACAGATCAGCTTCAGGCTTGGTTGATATCAAGGACCCTTGTCACGCGGAAAACGGCGCTCATGGAGTTCTGAAGTGAAAGCTGCAGCAACAGGAGGTTCGCCGAGCAAACATGTTGCACCTGACTCTAGGGGGGCTAGTAAAGAAGATTCGATAGTGCAAATGATCATGGTCGTATATGTAGTACAAACCCAGAAGTGTTGATGTATTCCCTCTAATTGTAACTCTTTGTTGCTGGTCTTTTGCCAGGTCTTGACATTCCAAGATGCTGAGATGCTCGGGTGCCTAGCAACTTTACCCGAATCGGCTTGCACGATGCACGTTCGAGCTTCGAAGTTCGAAGAGTGTAGGCCAAGCTCGCACGGGCACGGATACAGAATTCACGGGGCATCGCGAAACGCTGGTAAATTGTTTGTCTGAGCCTGGTCGACATTTGCATAGTGCCTGGTGCTGTATGCCGATCTGTAGAGCAAGATCCTGCCATCTTTTTGGCAGGCCCACTACTTGCAGAGCTTCAACGCAAACAGTGCTTGCGGAAGTAGCACAAACTGTACCAGCTCGGAGGGGTTCGTTTGCAAAACAGAGCTGCGTTCTAGACACCATCACGGCAGCCCAAATTCCCCACCACAGCCTGCCCAGCATACTGCAGCCCGGCTCTCCCTCCCAAATGACCCAAGATCACTACTACTGTAGATGTAGAGCAAGCCGAGGCTTGAGCTGATCCACTTGAACTACCGGGTGCCAGGAGTCCCAGTACCCATGCTTCAGCCGGCTTCTGCTGCAAGACTTGCAGACAGACAGATCCTGACCTTGGGTTTAGGGCTTAGGGGGCTGAGATCAGGCCCCTTAGCAGATCTCTGTTCAGCGAAAGCTTTGCCCAAGAGGCAGTACCTGAAAGATGCTGTGCGCCGGCCTCGGGCGTCTGTTTTGCTTTAGTCGAAGACCAGGTTCCTCCGACCTTTGATGGTGGGTGTTGTTTTAATGTTGTTTACGTTTTTTGGGGACCTATTATATTTCGGAGCGTCAGAAAACACAAGACGCTTATGTCGACATGCAGAACTCAAAATACCAGGATACTCATTACCAGTACCCTGTGTCTTAACGTACCTCCCCCTGCCAGTTTTACGAAAGCCTGTTGAGGATCTAGACTTCTTTCAAAACCTTGGTTCATCTGGGGGGGTTGTTGAACTAAAGAGGCACCTTGCCTTATCAGGGATTGCTAACATGTCGCGCCTCCTTTCTGAAATTCCCTCCTGGGCAGCACCCGCTATTAGGATGAAGCAAACGCTGAGTCAGAAGCGCATGTACTACATGTTGTATCTGTCGCGGCTCTTATCTAGTATGTATGTATGTATGTATGTACGTATGCATGCATGCATGCATGCATGCATGCATGCATGCATGCATGTATGTATGTATGTATGTATGTATAATGATATTGTAGGCATATGCAGGTAAACATACAAAAGCTTTTCTTGTTGTTGCATGTTATACTCGTATACAAGCACAATGAGTGGCGATCCGACTGGCAACTCGGTACCAGCGTGGACTCGGTGCGGGCCCTGAGGAGTTCACATGATCCGAAAGGCTGGAGTTCGCAGGATACTTGTGAGCCTTGAGATGGTGTATGCACAGCCACGGCAGGTAGCTTGGATTCTAGCATCCTTTTTGTTGAAGTCATTCCCACATCACAAGGCCCGAAACGAACACACCCAGGCCACAAAGACGGGATGTGCCAAGAACACGCATCAAGTTAACGCGTTCGCTTCGATCCTTGTTGTGCAGGTTACCACGCGTTTTGGATGACGCAGCATTTGCTTCGTTGCCATCAGCCCAGACGTGCGACAGCGCCTCAAGGATTAGGAGATTGGCCACGCAGAGTGCCCCAGAACTTTTCCAGCCCCGCGACAGGGCAATCTCCAAAGCAAAAGCATAGGTATCGAGTCCAAGTCCAAGTCTGATACAGTTTAAACTTTAATTCTGAGGTCCAACCTGGTCTGGAGCCAAGCTGCGGACTGCTGGAGCCGGGCAGGTCAGAAAGTCAACTCAGCTTCAACATACAGAGCTGGCGAAATTCCTTGCACGGCCAGTGAAGGACCGGAGGAGGAGACAAGCCCCGCTAGCTGCAGCTCCCGTGGTTCAGCGACACCAGACCAGCTTTGCTTTTTCCGGCTGGACTCCTCAAAGCTAGTGCCGCAAGATGAGGTGATCTCCAACAACACCGTTCTGCTGCATCACTTGGAAGGGCCCGGATCTCACATGCAGTTTTGCTACCATCTTCATTGCTTTGACTTGAAGACTGCATGGACGCCGTCGACTCCATACCCTGTTTGGGTGCTCCCCGAGCAGTAGGTAAAGGTCCTCTCTGCTACGAGTACCTTCGTTGAGTCCTTCTAGGAGTGAGCCGCTGCTGAAGCAGCTTTTCGATGGGCTGAGGCAGAAGGCTCGCGAAGTTTGAGCTACATGGGGGATGTTCAGGGTTTAGGCTTTATGCAGGCGCGACATGCAAGCCTGATGCAAAAAGAAAATTATGCTGGCGAGGTTAGCCGGTTGCCGGATGCAGCTTGCAAGGATGAACCTCCTAAACTTCAGAAAGTATACCGAACCTGGTACACACAGACAATGAAACAGGGTCTTCGGATACCGGGTTGGTGCTTAGGGTCTTTGTGAAGCGTTCTTTTGTCGGCTTGGGCTGGGTTCATGATCAGGAGCAGCCCCAAACCTCAGCGGAGTCTAGCGAGCTGAGCATGTGGCCACAGCATTGCATTGCAAGCCGTCCATCGCGAAGTCCAGCAACCAAAGGCTCATAACATGAATCTTGAGGTCCGGGCCGCCTATCACTTTGTCAGAGTTTGGGTGGTTCGAGGTTTCGTGCTGCTAGTCACAGGGCTGTGTCGCACGCAGCTGAATCCGACTCCTCAGAGTGGCACACACTCTTCACCGCTGTATCAGCAGTTTGTCTCGGAAGCCACAGTGAAGCGCCTTATGCCGGCCAGGAAGTGCAAAGTTTGCTCTTCCTGCAGGCGGGTACGCGCAGCAAAGCTACCAAAACCCAAGCCCAGACCGCAGAAACCACCCCGGTGCAGCTGCTTGCTCCTGAGTTCCCCGAGCCACGTGGCGTCATTTCGCACACCGCATACATTCAATTTACGTGGCTTTGGAGGATGCCTGCCGTTTGGCCAAATCGATGCAGCCAGGCGTGTGTCATGTTGCATGGTGTGCGAAGACGGCCTACTGCTGTCCGAAGGGACTTGAGACCAAGTCGCTTCCGTGAAGGATGATTGGCAGCTGACAGTCGGAGGTTATGAAACTGCAAGACGGGGCTACTTTCGTGACGACACTAGATCGGGCATATGCTCAATCCCGTTGTTCAGTTCAGCGGCAGAAGCTCTACAAGAGGATGCTGTCGTGCACGCCTTAGCAAAGCTGCCGAACTCAGACAGGCTAGAGTTGTGCAATCTTAGAGGGGGTGTTGTTGCTGTAGCTGCAGCCTGTGTTGTGCGGTCCAAGCTCTGACCTCGCTGGTGCAATTAGGCAAGGCATGTTCGAGGTGCTGATCCCTTTCTTGTCTCCGGAGGCGGGAGGGACAACGCCAGTACTAAAGCGACGTCCAGGGTTGAGGGCCTCACGTCAGAAGACGGACACTGCTGGGTTTTGTCGCCGCGAAAGTTCGTGCAACTCTCCAGGGTTGGAAAACAATCTGCGATGAAACGGCCGGATCACTTGACATTGATAGCCCTTCACTTCAGACAGAATTCACCGGGCCTCCGCTAAACCTGGGTCTGCCAGTGCGAGAACCTTCCACCTGGCCCCGGCTAACAGCAGCTAACACCCCCACATTGACGGTGAGTCTTCAACATCGCGAATCAGGAGAACGCTTCCAGCACTTCCGAGGCACGAACTGCCCAAGAATGCCTACATAGTCTAACTCTCCGGTGGTTTGGAAGGTATTCATGGGATGCTGGAGGTTTTGGTCGGACTAGGTCACTAGGGTCCTGAACCGATATCCAGTTCTGTGATGCGTTCGACCCCGACAGTCTCCGCTGTGTGAGTTGCAAATCTTCAGGCACCTCTACCGCACCACATGGCCATGGAGGCCGGCGCCTGAGAGTTCAGCTTCTTTCCGAGCGGCTGATTCGTCAGCATGTGAGCAACCGGCGCATCACGCGGCAGTGGTAAGTCTGCGGCATGCCGCCTCCAGCGGCGTAACATTCTCAATTTGAACTGCCAGATTCTGGTACAAAGCGCCCTTGTCTCTCAAGACGACTTGTGCGGGCCTTGGACTTCTGGTGGAGTTGAGGTTGCTCGTGGCCTTTGTGTTCTTTTTGCCTCCATCCCTGTCCCCACCCCCCACCAGCAAGTTGTCGTTGGCCATCTCAGCACTGCGCACCCCATCCGCCATGAGGAAGATGTTCATGCATCGGCAAGCCCTTGGGCCTGAGCCAGGGCCGACCTGGCTTTTGCTCGTAGCTGGCGATTCTTATGGGGTCTGGTGTAGATGTACGATTCTTAATTCTCATAGACAACGCACAGTGACGTGCCATGCTGATGTTTTGGGCTTGGGGGCTTGGGCTGCCCGACATCCGCATGCCAGCGCTTTGTGCTGAATCAATGCCTTGAACAAGCATTAGTCCATGTCGCCCATATCAATCTCAGAGGTGGATGTTGGCTTCCGAAAAGGCAGTTTGGTTTTCGAACTGCTCGCTATTCTTGCTTGATCATGCTTGACGTTGCTTTGGAGAGACTGCGCGACAGCGGACCCGATGTGGCCAGGGGGGAGCTCCTCGACATCCTGATTCGCATGTTGCACCTTGGCGGCAGGGGGGGAAGACTCATGGAAACGCGCACCTGTGTTGCTAGTGATTGGTCTGAGGGTCTGAGTGTGCCTGCCGCATAATGCATCCCTTAGGCTCCGCCAGCCTTGGCTATGCCGGCATGCAGGTGGAAGTGATGACGCCGATGATGATCATGACAATGACACTGATCTGGATGATTGCACCCATGAAGAAGAAGATGTTCCTAATGATGACAGTCCTCATCACCATCATCATTTCTTCGTAGCCGTAGTTGATCCCACACTCTGTGACAGAATTACGACCATGGTAAGAGTACGAGGAAAAGCATCTTGCCGAAGGGACATGAGCTCGAAAGCCGTCGGGGCTTGAAGCTCGGGGCGCATGCTGGGCAGCTCAGAACTCAAGGTACCCTCTGCCTTGACGGTGCAGCGTCGACACACGGTAACAAAGAACTACTGAGACAAAACAAACCGTCAACCCTGCCAGCGACGGCAGTGGGATGCTGTTGTCAATGAGCCAACGAGGTTTCGGGATCCGGACCACGGCGCCTGGACCTCGTGGAAGGTTTCTCTGAGAAGTCGGGGCAAGAGTTCCGTGCGAATTCAAGCTCCTTCCAGTTATCCTTCGACGGAGCCTACTTATGCAGAGAACTACCTAAAGCCGAAAGCGTCTGCTCTGCATGTGACGAGGAAGGCAAACAGAAAGGAAGCGAGGCCAGGTTACGGAAAAACCTGTCGCATCTTCTTTTGAGATGCTGCTGATGTCCAAGTCGCCTGACAAGCCAGAGCCATAGCAAAACCAGTAGTCCTAACCTATGCAGTCGCCTTTATATGGCGAGTTATCCGAAGGACAGCGCAAGGCATGCAGCAGTAGATGATTGTAGTGTAGTGTAGTCTTATGAGCCTTTGCCCTCCCCTGAGGTCCAGAGTCAAGTGGCTGATGTGCTTCAGCTTGTTGGGAGCTGAGCGGCTCCAGTGATTAGTGCAGAGCTTTAAGAAGAAGCGGGCGGTACTTTGATGGTGGGGAGTTTAAGGTTCCTAGATGAGTACGGAGAGAGAGCTAGGCAGTGAGAGAGACAGAGAGAAAGAGAGAGCAAGCACACAAAAGAAAGGATGTAGGTCATCGTGTGAATGCAGGTATCTCTGTAGTTGCACTGGGAGTAGACCCCAAGTCGATTTCAGAAAAAACGAGCGAGCAAAGCCCGCCAAATAAGTATATCATAGCTACACCAGGTTCGGTTTCGGCTTGACCAATCTTTGCCACACTTGCACAATGGAACACGTTGCTCTGCAGGTGATGAGTTGGAACGGGAAGGCCGCGGAAAGTGTGTGAAGCTGCAATGAGCCTACTTCGTCAGATAAGCTAAGAATCCTCAGAAGTCCCCTTGAGCTTGCACTGGAGATGTTCTGGGGAGTGCTGCGAGAATGAATCCACCTATTCCTTTTGATCCTGGAGGGTTTCCTGTGATGGACCCTCCCACACCCGCGACCACTCCCTCTGCCACGACAAGAAGGCGTTCCCCTTTAGCCAGCCAGATTCTGACAGGTCAATCAAAAGCAATTGGGCGACACACTCAGAAAACGCGGGCTTTAATTTGCAGCACGTCAAGAAGGCCGCCGGGGTGCAGAACAAGTGCCGGACGGTGCATTGCTGGTGATGATGCTTTTCCTATTCTGGACATTAGATGTTCGAAGAGCTACGGCCGCATCATCTTGTTGGGAGCATGAATCAAGCTACGAACGACGACCCACTTGAAGTCGCTGCGGTCTAGCCCCGGAATTACACGCTCTCATTCTTATGTTATGAAATCGTCGGCTGTTTGCAGTTACATGCCTTGAAAGCTGTTCAAGTTGTACGGCCGAGATAGCATCTACGCCTTGAAGATTCTTCAACGCCTGGCATGGCCGGCATGTTTGTGTCTGAGGCTGAATGATGCTGCAGGAAGGGCCAAAAAGACAGACAAAGAAAGAGAGAGAGAGAGAGAGACAGAGAGAGACAGAGAGAGCGAGCGACCGAGCCCTCGACCCAGACCGCAAGAGAGAGAGAGAGAGAGAGAGTTTTTTGACCGAGGAGAATGCCATCCACAACAGAGAAGCCGCAATGTCGGCGATGCATCCAAGGCCCTAGCTGGCACGGAG